CCCTTGCTTTTGGGGATGTGTCAAGTAAGAAGTTGCTGCGGTGGAGGTCAAGGAGGTTGTTTCCTGCTTTCTCCTCTAGGGTGTTGATAGTTTCCTGTCTCACGTTCAGGTCCTTTATCCATTTTGAGTTTATTTTTGTGTATGGTGTGAGAAAATGATCTAGTTTCATTCTTCTGCATGTTGCTGTCCAGTTCTCCCAACACCATCTGTTAAAAAGGCTGTCTTTTTTCCACTGGATATTCTTTCCTGCTTTGTCAAAGATTAGTTGGCTGTATACCTTTGGGTCCAGCTCTGAGTTTACCATTACTTAACTCTTATAGGATTGGTCTCCCCATGGGGATAAATCACCCTCCCCAGCCTGAGTCGGCATCCATATCAAATTAGAAACCCTGTGTACCCAGCATTAACAACGAACACCCTACCTGGCCGGTAGCCAGCTCTAAGTGACTATTCCCTCCCTCCCTCTTGCCCACACCTGAAACTCCCCAACACGCAATCACAGAACAAACATTTATAGCCCTTTGACCCTCATGGAGTTCTCTAAAATTCCTCTGCCAGTGATCCTGAGAATGTACCTATTACTTTCTCCCCCATACTTGTGTGACAGGCCACTTCTACCCATCCCACCACAGTTAGTGGGGAAAATCCAGGACACAGGGAGGGAGCACACTGGGTCAGTGCCTCCCAAGGCAGAGTGAACAGAGGATGCTTCCTGTAAAGCAACTTTGGGCCAGGAAGGAGACACACCCATTGACCAAAGCAAGGTCCAAATTTCTATGGTCTGTTTAAGTGTTGTTATGGAATGATCTCCAAGATACATTATGTTAACTAAAACAAGCAAAATGCAGGACAGGATGAGTATTTGGTCACTCTGGTGTAAAAAAAGGAGAGAGAAGGGCCCATCTTTATACCGACATACTAGAAATGGATACACAAGGTGCTAATCATGTGCAATGGTACTGGGGACAGTTGTGGAGGGAGATGTTTCTACGGATCCCTTCATGGCTTTGAGCTTGAACCACATCTATAGCTCCTCCTGTGATTCTTATATAGTTACAATTTTTTGAGCTCTGTGTCAGGTGATTATGAAGCCCCGACCTAAACTCCAGGGGGACCAATCTTGGTGAAGCGAGGACACCTGTTAGCTGCATAGGCACGTTGAGTGTGCATGCAGGGAGGGTATGTCAGTGGGTGCAGGTAGGGATGTGTGTAGGTGTGGCTACACGCTGGACATCTCCATCATAACTGTGGCAACAGGGGACAGGATGTAGAGTCCTGTCAGTGACAGTACCTTAAACTTCTGAGAGGGGAGCCCAACCCAAGTGCCCACAGAGTTAGGCCAGGGCAGGAGGGGGTGGTGCACGGGGACCTGGATTTTCACAACTTCTTCCACCACCCAAATCCCCCAAGTCTATACAATTCAAACTCTATTATTAGCCATCTGGAGTAAGAACATGACTAAATGCTCTCTAAGTTTCCGTGCATGTGTATGTTAATGTAGTTGTGTGCAGGTATAAGTGTGCGGGGTGCTGTATGTGTGTGGGAGTGAGTGTATGTAGTGTGTGTGTATACGTGTGTATGTGTGCACGCATATGTGCAAGTGACTGTATGTATATGCATGTGTGTGCGCTTTCACTCAGCAAAAGGAAAAGCAGAAAAGGCTACCCCCAATAAATGGTAGGCCCGCAGAATACAGCAGGTGGGCAATACTTAGGAACTATCAAAAAAAATGGCCACCCTTACCCACCTTCCCGGAAGTCAACAGCAACCGCCCCAAAGGCCACACCTAGGGCCCCATTGCCAGGTGACACTGACTAATAATTAATACATCTGAGGTTGGCGTGGAGCCACAACTGATGTCACCTCCCATGGAACTCACCTTCGCTCCATATGGCCATGCCACCCAGTAGGGCTCTGAGAAGTCCAGCAAAGGGCCAGTGGGCAGACACAGGCCCATCCTGAAGGGGCGGAGCTGAGTAGCGAGGAGCCCTTATCCCTGAGGGGGTCTCGCCGGCAGGAAGGCAAACAACCACAAACAGATTGAGGTGAGGGGATACCCCTTCCAGTAGGGCAGACACCCTACCTTCTGGGGGCACAGCCAGGCCACAGCCCTCCCAGCGTCCCCTCACTCCAAGAGTATATGCTAACAAAAACTACAGACACACACATAAGAGGCTGAGGTAAACGGAAGAGACAAGCTGAGGGGCACGGGAAGGGCAAGCCTCTTTTATTATCCCAAAATGCAAAGTATTGAAGGCACTTACAATAACAAGGCAGGAGGGGAGGGGAGGCACAGGGAGGTCAGAGGTCAGAGGTCAGAGCACAGAGGTAAATCAACGGGCCCCACCCTGGTCACCACCCGGCACGGAGAAAAGGAAAAGCTACAGGACCAGATCTGAAGCCAGTCAGGGTGTCTAGCTCTATGAAAGGTACAAATCCATCTACAGTGGATTAGGAAATTAGGAGTACACGGCAGCAAGGAACAGGGCTGGCAGTCACGAGTTAGTGGCTCTTTAAGGAACACGCTCGGGAGTGAAGAGGGCCCTCAGGTCCCCTGCTGGAAGAGGTCCCGGTACATCTCGATGAGACGGGCAGCCTCGCGCTGGCCAGAAAGCAGAGCACCATGGGTGGTGGAGTAGTACTTGCGGTGAGTGGCCTCACCCGAGAACAGCACCTGCATGGGCTGGGCCAGGGGATGGGGAAGTGAGGGAGGGGAAAATCAAGAAAGGCTAGGAGGCTACCTGTCTGCCCCAGGAACCCCCCATCCACACTACAAGTCAGAGAGCAGGCACCCGAGATGCAGGTATCGCTGCTTCCACAGGATGAGGAGTTGCCCACCCCACCTGGCCACCTTCCCCTGCTTCTTCCCCAGACATCCAGGCCTCAGTTCTTTCTACTCTGAGGCTGCTAGGAGTCCTGGATATGCAGTCTCAGAGGCTCATTGTGCCTCTTACTAGTGAACTCAGGGCAAGTGGTTTAATCTTCCTAAGCCTTGATTTTCTCATCTGCAAAATGAGTTTATACAACCTACTCCTGATGGTGGTTGTAGGGATTAACTGAAAGAACGTATCTAAAACACTCCGAACCTGGAAGAACATAAGCACTCAATAAAGTTAGGCGGTAATTTAACAAACCTTTATGGAGCCCTTATTAGGGTCCAGGGACTGTTCTGAGCACTTGGAAGATAAAAGGTGACCGGGCTGCTGCTTTGAGGAGCTTCCTTGCTGGTGGGGAAGCCAGACACGAAACCCAATTACTAAACGGCATCATGTGTGACTTGAGGGGTGTTTGGGCAAGGTGCTGAGAGCCCAGAAAAGAAGCCCCCTGTAAGGGGGATGACACAAAGCTTCCCAGAGGACAGGACCTTTGGGCTGCTTCTCAGAAGATGCTAGGTAAACAAACAGGCAAAAGACATTTCAAGAAGAAGGAAAAATGAGGGCAAAAATGCACCAAAGCAAGGGACAGTGAGAATTTTGGTACAGCCGGGGCTCAACCTCGAGAAAGCAAGCTGTGTAGGTGGGGTCCAGGCAAACTATGAGTGCCTGCATTCCAAGCGTGAGTTTGGACTCTATCCCACTGTATCTCAAACTGAACGTGCAAAAGCACCAACTGGGGATCCTGGTAAAATGTAGGTTTTAATTCAGCAGGTCTGGGGGGGCACTGGGAGTCTGCATCTCTAACACACTCCCACGTGACGCTGATGCTGCTGGTCCACAGACCCCTCACTTTGAGTAGTGAAGCTTTAACCCACCAACAGGGAGCCCAGAGAGTGGGCGAAGCCGTAGGGGGCTGGGGGGAGGCTTACTGTGGCAGAAGGCAAGCTGCCTACGCCCACATCCATTCTCCTCTTTCAACTCAGTAACAAAGCCCTGGTTTTTAACTGGGTTCATTGTCATCCAGAACAAAAATGACGCATCCCAACCTTTTTGGCAGCTGCTTCAGACATGTGGCTATGTTCTGGCCAATCAGCTTCAAGTGCATTGTTGTTTAGAGGCACTTGAGTCAGCCCCAGGGGTTCCTCTCTTTTGCCCTGTCTGCCTGTCACAGCCCTGAGAGGGGCAGCCTCACAGCCCTCTAGAACCACAAAGTGGCCTTGAAGATGGAGCTAAGTGCCAATGGTACTGGGTCTGGGTACCTACCTCTGGATTTACCCTCTGTCTCCATGTGACAGAAGTAAACTCTGTCTGCTTTGGGCCCCGGTTATTTTCATGTTGTTTTGCGTTTTGCTGGATGCACTAGTCCTAACTCGATGCAGGTGACAAGAGAAGATGTGCTCTTCAGGAGGCTGGCTATAGCCTCAGTAAGGACCTCTTCCTCTCTCCCGCTGAGCACAACCAGGGCGTGCCCAACACACGCTGGAAATCTTCTTCACCAATTCCACCAAAGGATTGTTTTAAATATGATTCTGCTGGGGTTTCAACATTTTTTGGTATGTGGATGCTTGGTGGGGGAAACGTGAACTCCACTTTGTAAGAACGGAGGTATATATAATTTTTTCTCTCAGATTTATTATTTTTCTCTATCATATATTATATAGTTAATATAACTTGGGGGAGGGTCGGTATTCTCAATTTTATTTTCTGAAACATATTGGGGGGGGAAGTAAGTAAAACATATTGGGGAAACTTACTTCTACGGAAGCAGTGCTGTCCAAAAGAACTTTCCATGGCGACAGAAATGTTCTATAGCTACCCAATCCAACACCACAGCCACTAGCCACATGTGGCTATCAAACTTGAAATGTGGCCAGTGCAGCCAAGGAACTGAATCTTTAATTTATTAATTAAATCGTAATTAATTTCAATTAAATGCACCTAACGGCTAGAGCACAACATGAAATGGCTCAGCTTTTACAACCTCAAGAAAGCTTTTAACATCTCAATTTGATTCCCTCTTTTCTTCCAGATGTTAAGTGCACCTGAACTTGCTTTCTCTTCCATCATCCTCTTCCTCACAGGAGCTACTCCACCTGCCTCAGCTTGTCACCCCTCAGCGAACATCACCCTCCCCCCCACCAACCACACCCACACACAACACCCCTGCCCCCAGCCTCCCAGGACCTCCTCACCCTGCACCCTGCTCACCGCCAACTTGGAGCTCTCGGCGTACGGCAGGGGCGTGGCCAGCTTCTCCACATCTGCCCCGCTAGAGCCCACCCGTGTGTACGAATAGGAGCCTCGGAAGTAGGGGTTGCTGCCCCAGGCCGAGCGCAGGATTCGCCGAGGTTTTGGAATGTTGGGGTTCCCTGTTGGGAAGTTGGAAGAGCCAAGGGGAAGATAATAAACGGCTGCACACAGAGGCCACCCTTGGGCGCACAACTGATACTGCACCTCCCCAGCTGCAAGAAGGCCAGGTCCCTGCCGGTAGGCATGGAAGACGCACCAAGACAGATGGAGGCTGGGGCTCTAGCCGTTTACCCTTCAGTGCCTTCTTGTGGACCCCCCAGCAAAAGAGCTCATCTGTCTGGGTCATCCCTCAATTTCCTATATGAAAAATGTTCAACTAAAAGAATCAGACAATGAAACACAAATCCATCTCATAGTAGGACAGTGTGGGTAGGAAATGGGCAATCTGAGGTTCGGGGGTGATACCTGAGTTTTTACCATCAGCCCTTAGAGAGAAGAAACAGCCCCCAAGGCTTTGAGCATTTCAAGTTCCAAAGGGGGGTTGAGGGGCGGCTCCCCGGTGGGCACGCCCCTCAGCTGCATCATCAGAGGACAGTGCAGCGGACGGGGTGGGGCGGGGAGGCCGGCGGCGCGGGGCACACCTGTGAACTGCCGCAGCATCTCTGTGCAGATCTCGGCCACCGCCTCGTCGTCGCACTTCTCCATGACGAGGGCCTCCTCCCCGCAGATCCAGCCGCTCAGCACGTGGCCGTAGCGCTCGGGCGGGTAGAGGACATCGAAGCCGCAGATCTTGCGGTACCAGAGCTCCGGCGGGTAGGTGAGGGTGCCGCTCTCCGCCTCATCCTCCCAAACAAACTGTATGCTATTGCACTCGGGGCCCCAGAAGGGCTCCTCGAATTCCAGAAAGATCTTGTCGGTGGTGCCGATGCCCAGGCGGTGGATGGCGGCCACCTTCTCGGCAGGCAGGCCCGGCCGGAAGAAGCTGGTGTACTGCCTCTTGAGTACGCCCAGCGACACGGTCACAATCACGTGGTCCGCCGGGATCACCTCGCAGTCTTCACACTCCACCAGCACCGGCCACTGCTCCTCCTCATCCCGCCCATCCCCCCGGGGCTCCTCTCCCCCCTGGCCGCCCTCCCCGGCGTCCTGGTTGTGGTCACCCTCACCCCGGGGCTCAATCTCAGGGCCCCGGGGACGGCCCGAGGCCTGGTCCCAGTGCACGCAACGGACGGGTTTCCCCAGCTGGATGACGTGGGCGGGGATGCCCTCGGCCAGTAGCTCCACAACCCGCATGAAGCCTGAGGGGATGATGTGGTGGGCCCCCGGGATCTCGGTCCACTCCCCAAAGGCACTCAGGGACACATCGTCCATGCTGTGCGAGCTACTCTCACAGCTCTCCACCTGTGGGAAGAACCAGAGAGAACCCAGATGACCACCAGGGCCGGGCAGAGATCTGAACAAGACCTCAGAGCAGCCCCGCCCTCCTTGGTCGCCCAGCATCCGTCTTCCTCCCGCTGCCGCCTACATCCAACAAAGTTCTGAGAGGATAAGGATACCTTCAGGTACTGCTGGATCATGGCGAGCTTCAGGCACTTGGTGGCCTCCGGGTCGTCAGGGTCATCCCTGATGCGGTTGCGCACCTCCTCCCGGGTGAACACCCCCACACTGTTCTGACTCTCAGCATTGACTGGTTTACCATGCCGGAAGAACTCCTGGGTCAAGTTATAGACCTGCCAGAGAGACCCCAGGAGACTGAAAACAATTCCTCATCACATCTCCCTCCATCTCAGACCGAAGGACCCCCAACTCAAAAGTCCCCACGTTCCAGGTACTCCCGGAGATTCTGAGCTCATGGCTTCTCATCCTCGGTGAATCAGTGTGGCACGCGGTGCTGCACTCAGGGCCTAGGTTCAGGGCTGTTACCTGCTTCCAGATCACCATCTAAGGTCCCCTGAGTCTATGAGGGAGGGAGGGAGCCCTGGAGACTCTCCAGAAGGGCTCTTGCTGAAAACAAAGTAATATGTATGGTGCCTGGTGGGAAAGGAACCACCCCCCTCAAGGGCACTATGTGGCCAAGCAGACCACCCACTGCAGAACCCAGGTCTGCACACATCTCCCTTTTCCAAGAATCAGATGCCCAAACCCTCTCCCTGCCACTCCTGCCCAAGCGTATCTGCTTCACCTTCTCCCAGGAGGGCAGTCTGGAACTGTTGCCTGGCCAGTGTTTGGGGGGGGAAGGGGGCAGAAGGAGCCCTGAAACCCAATCCTGCTCAGGTCACACCAAGTGCCCCCTTTACTACAGAACCCAGACATGTTTAAGCAAGATGACCATGTTGGGGCAGCGCATGTGGGGGAGGGGGGATTCCAGTGTGCCAAGGAATGAAAATACATTTCACAGGCATATTTTGGCAAGAACACTAACCCATACCTCATCAACAGAAAGCAACGAACAGTCGCTTAGAGCAGGATCCTATTACTTCCCATGCCTGCTGGGCATATAACTCCCACCAAACACTGGGCGGGTCTCCCTGAAGAAAGTAAGCCAGTCCTGGACCAGGCATGGCATCCCCAGAGGGTAAGGTCTGAGCCCCAACATTCACTCCACAAACTTTTCCGGGGCTGTGCAAAACACAGATTGCAATGGTGAGCAAGACAGACACAGCCCTGAGCCCCTACCTTCACTCAAATTGGGGGATCTCATAACTGGGCTGTTTTTACAGGATATGCTGTGACAAGAACAAACCCAGGGGTTGTAAGATCAACCCAGATGATCTTGGACAGTTGGCAATGAAAGAGAGAGGAAAAGTATTTCAGGAAGATGGAAGAGCATACTCAAAAATGAGGAAGGGGAGAGAGAATGTAAGTGGCTCAGTCTTGCTAAAGGGGGCAGCGAGAAAAGAGAAGTTTACAAGGGATGATTTTGGAAAGGAAGGCAGGGGTGGGGCATGAAGGACTAAGATTCATGTCAAGGACTCTGGACTCTGGCATCACTGAAGGGCTGTGAGCATGAACGCACACCCACTCTCCCTCCCAGGGCACTGGCAACAGATGGGCTCTTTGGCCAAACATCTGTGGCCGGTGCCCATTAGTGGTGTTTCCATTCCTAAAGTGAGTTTGAACTTGGTAGCACACATTCATGGGAATGATGTCTGCCCTGTAACTCGGCCCTGGTATAAGCCCTGAGGCTGCAGGGTAGAGGAAGGAAGGTGACATTGCCAATCCCCTACCACCCCACTCAGGGAAAAGCCTCCACATGAGATAGACACATGAATTAAACATGTCTCTGGTATACAATCTAAAGAAGAAAATGAGTTAAGTTGTTCACTTTTCCTCCCTGCAGTCACAAGATACTGGGCATGTGGCCTTAACTGGAGTCCTCAGCAAATTCCTCACCCAGAACCACGGCCAAGGAGTCAGACTTTCGGGGTATCTCCTCCTCCCCCGTTCTCTTCCTTGGGTAATAAGCAATATGGTAGCCAGTCTTCAGCTTATGGTGACCAAACCCCAGAATGTGCAGTTGAGGAACATAAATTTAGTCCATCTACACATGATTCTTTGTGTCCACCACCAACTGGGACAGCCTTAACTGCACACGGGTTTGTCCTATGGGTACAGTCTTCTGTCCTGCATTAAATTACATCTTCCCAGTGTGACCAAGGGTAATGGCACAGGCCTGTAACAGCTCATAATATTGTCCCCAATTCTCATTAAGTGCTTTTCATCAGGATCTCATTTAATCTTCATGACATTCTGAAGTAGGTTTAACTATGTCTGTTTTACAGGTGAGGAAAGTTAAGACTCAGCAACTTGAACCACAACAACTTGCTCAAGACTACACAGCTGATGGGGCGCCTGGGTGGCTCAGTTGGTTAAGTGTCCGCCTTCGGCTTAGGTCATGGTCTCACAGTTCGTGGGTTTGAGCCCTGCATCGGGCTCTATGCTGACAGCTCAGAGCCTGGAGCCTGCTTCAGATTCTGTGTCTCCCTCTCACTCTGCCCCTCCCCTGCTCACGCTCTTCTCTCTCTCTCAAAAATAAATAAACGTTAAAAAAAAAAAAAAAAAAAAAGACTACATAGCTAAGAAGTAGTAGAACCAGTATTTGAATCAAGGTAGTCTTGCTCCAGGGACTAAACTCTATATGACACTAGCACACAAATTCGTTAATTTGTTAACAAGTATAGCAGATTCAAATGAGTAGCCCTTCAAAGTCACCTCTGGAGGGAGGCCGCATATTTATTGTGAAATCACCCTCAGGTAGGGCTTCATACACTTAGAGCACACCTCTTTAGAATGGCCTCCAGCTTTGGTTAAGAACTACACAAAGAAACTGATCACTTTTCCTCACAGTTAACACCTCCTCCTTCTGACCCAAAGCACCACCACTCAGATTGATAGCCCCTTTTATCCATCCTATTCTCCACAAGTGACATTCTTAGCTTTCAGAAGTCAAACCCACAAGCAGAAGCTGATGATGATCTACTTTTAAGTTTATATAAGAGAATAAGTAAGTCATGGTCCCTGAAAGTCATTCTCAAGAGGCATCCATGCTGAAAGCACTCACAATAACCTGGATTTCAGGACGCGACTAATTCCCAGTGGACCACGAAGGTCTACTTTGAAGAATACTAGTTCTTATCTGCTCATTAACAATTCGGTCTCCTAGCACATGAGTAAGAACGCACAGTACCGTGGGACTGCTCACAACATACCTTGTGGGTGCACACATATAAGTCACAGCATGCCTGCCCTCCACTGAGCAAGGACTATCCCCACAGCAAGAGTCATTTCTCCTTTTCCACACCCAAGAGCCAGAAAATGTACAGTAGGCGCTTTCTGGCCAACTTACTGAGCTGGAGTGAAGGGTCATTATACTACAAACAATAAGCAATCAGAAGGCAAGACCTACATGCTACCTCTCCTGTTAAGTGCAGTTCACAGCACCACTGAAGGATACTAAAAATATAAACTTTTTTTTTTTTTTTTAGAGAGAGAGAGAGCACACAAGTGAGAGTGGGGCAGAAAGAGAGAGAGAATCCCGAGGCGGGGCTCGAGTTCACCTGTGGCAGGGCTTAAGCTTACCCAATATGGGGCTTAAACTCATAAACCGTGAGACCATGACCTAAGCCAAAGTTGGATGCTTAACCTACTGAGCCACCCAGGCGCCTCTATGAACGTTTTTTTAAAAACCTGAATAAGACAAGGGTGTGTGTCCTTGCCACTTCTATCCAACACTGTACTGGAAAAGCTATATGGTGCAATACAGCAAGAAAAGAATTAAGTGGTCTTAGGCCATATTGTCCACTACAGTAGCCACTAAACATTTGTGGCAATCTAAAATTAAGTTAAATATTTGGCTCCTCAGTTTTACTAGCTACATTTCAAGAGCTCAAAAGTCACAGGTACTTAGTGATTACCCTACTGGATAGTGCAGGTCTGAAATATCTCCATTATTGTAGAAAGTTCTAGAGCACAGTGCTGGGGTGAGGATTAGAAAGAAAGAAAAAACTTTCACTTTTTTGTATAGTATTATACACATAAAATTCTAAAATATTATTAGAATATAAATTAAAATAATATTAACAGATATAGATATAATATTAGCATTAAAACAATACTTCATCAAGGTAGCTAAAATCAATATATAATAATCTGTTATAGTTCTGAACACTGGAAACAACAAAAAATAAATGAGCTTTTTTTGTTTTTTGGTTTTTTAAGTTTATTCATTTATTTTGAAAGACAGAAAGAGTGCAAGTGGGGCAAAGGCAGAGAGAGAATCCCAAGCAGGCTCCGCACTATCAATGTGGATCCCGATGCAGGGCTCGAACTCATGGACCATGAAAGCATGACCTGAGCCGAAGCTGGACACTTAACCAACAGAGCCACCCAGGTGCTCCAGAAAGTAAAGGTTTTAAAATAACCACTTAAAAGAATATCCAAAAGCAATAGCAACAACAATCACTACCCAAGTACCTAGTAAATAAATAAAAGATGCTTAAGGCTTTTCTGAAGAAATATATAATCATCTGTATCAGCAACCTCTTACCTAATACTTCTCCGCTCATAATCTTCACTATGTTCTCAAATTGTCTCGCTTTCCCAAATACTGGGCCCAGAGAGTATGCAAAGGCCCCAGCAGGTCACTCAACCCCCCCCCCACACTGCCGGCGTGCCCCCCGCCCCCCACACCCATGTGCCCAGCTGCCCTGCTGACACCTCACCTCGTTGTATAAATCGCTGAATTCCTCAACCACGTCCTTGGGGATCCTGCGACCACAGTTGGTGAGGTAGCAGGCCACGCCATTCTTGGAGTAGAGGCTGATGCGGCCCACGCTGCGCTCCCCATCAGTCGTCTCTTCCAGGAGGCCATTGGCTTCTGCTAGATGATAGATGGGATTCCCATGGGAGCCATGGATCCAGGTGGCTCCCAACTCAAAGGTGGCGTGTCCTGACGGTGACAACAACAGGCCCTTAGAGGGGCAGGGACTTCTTCAGAGAGGGCCAGAACACTGCCTCAGCCTTCTTCCCCCAAGAGGATCCTTCCATCCCCTCAATAGAGCAGGAAGGGAATTAGGTCCCTTTCTGACAACCAATCAAAGTCTTCAGAGAAAACTTCCCAGGGGAAACTACATGTGGCACAAAATGGATTCCGCTTTATAGCATTCCACGGTCACCCTGAATGACTTTGTGATTTGCCCCCGAGTCGCTTCACTGGGCTAGTTGGAAGGCTCTGCTTTTCCATCCCACCTTCGTCTAACAGAACAGCAGGCCCTGGGCCCTCCTTTTGCATTGTTGACTCTCCCTCAGGAGATACTCTGTGGGCACCTGAGGGGACAAAGGTCCCAGGGAGGGGAGTGAGGTTACCTGAGGCCCTTGGGCCCAAGGTCCTCATCTGACCTTACTCCAATTCCTCAACATTCTCCAGTGCCCCCAGAGTCTAAGCCCCGATCTCAGACAGAAAGTGGTCCCCCTCCTAACTCAGTCTGAGGCAGAGGAGGGAGGGCAAACATTCCCCCTGAAGGCAATCTCAAGTAGACTTCCAGCGAAAGCTGAACTCTCTCATCCTAGGGCAGAAGAACCTTGGGTGGCAGAACCCAGGAGTCTGACCAGGGCAGGGGGCATCTCCTAGACCCAAGCTGGGACAGGGCTAGGGCTGGCGCTGGTTAGTTCTACCACCCCATCCACAGCCAAGGTACCAGATGCTCTGGGCCTGGGCCTCGGTTTCCTCTTCTGATGCTGCAGGCATGGTGACACATTGTCTCCTTCCCTGCCTAGCTCCCAAGGAAGTTGAAACAAAGAAAGAAGAGAGAAGAACGTTTTTTGGTCCTTTGGCTTTTGTGTTGTTGTTGTTGTTGTTTGTTGTTTTTGGAAGACTGAGTCAAGATATCGTGTGTGGTTAAGTTTTTTGCCAAGATGGTCACAATAATTCCTCCTGTCCGTGTACATATAGCCCTTTGCAACATGACCTTGCCAATCCTCCCATCAATAGACGGAGACTATTTCCCCACCCCTTGACTCTGGGCTGGCCCTGTGACTTGCTTTGATTAATAGAATGCAGTGAAAGTGATGTTTGTGGCTTCAGAGCCCAGGCCTCAAGAGATCTCGTGGCTTCCACTTTCACGCTCTTAAAATGTGACCACCGTGGAGAGGTTTACCCTGCTGGAGACATGTGGCCCAGCCAGAAAGCCAGTGCCAACCGCCAGACAAATGGGGAAGGCTGTCCTAAACCAGCCCCGGTCAAGCCACCAGATGACTGCAGCCGAGTTGGAGATCCCAGGCATGAGATCTCCATGTGAGACAGTGAATGAACCACCTAGCAGAGTCCTGCTTAAAGCAGGACTTTAAGCAAGTAAAATGGTGCTGTAAGCCACTATTTTGGGGTGATTTGTTACGCAGCAATGGTTATCTGATATGCCATAACAGACAACAATATCATCTCTCATCCTAGCAACTGGCCATTCTGTTTGTGTGCAGCCCCTCTCCTGGGCTGTTTCTAATTAAACCACTAGTTACTAAAAATAGCCCTGTATATATGTATGTGCCAAATACCAGGCAAGAGAACAAAACAATCAGCCTCAAGCTACAGCCAGTGAGACAGAATTTCCTTAGGACTCTGGAAGAAGATGCAGGAATATGCATGTCCCTTTTTCCAGGAAACATGGGCAGACCTGATGGCTCAGAAAGCAAAAAGCCCAGGGGCGCCTGGGTGGCTTAGTCAGTTAAGCATCCGACTTTCACTTAGGTCATGATCTCGCGGTTCGTGGGTTCGAGCCCCGCGTTGGGCTCTGTGCTGACTGCCAGCTCAAAGCCTGGAGCCTGTTTCAGAGTCTGTCACTCCCTTTCTCTCTGACCCTCCCCTGCTCACGCTCTCTCTCTCTCTCCTAGAAATAAGTAAAACATTAAAAATTTTTTTAAAAAAATAAAAAGAAAGCAAAAAGCCCAGTGCCCAACCTCCAGAGGGTTCCTAGTGGGCATTGAGGGTATTTACTACTAATCCTCCTTTAATTCCTCAGGCTTGAGGTTCCCCAAAGTGTCTTGCCTGCTTTGAGGTCCCAAGAGAAGAAGAGGGCCAGTACCTTGGGGAGGGGCCTGGACCCTCCCCAGGGCATGCCAGGGAGCTCCAAATCACACCGCCCCTGGGCAGTGACATCCTGGATTGACACTTGGCAAAAGCAGGAATGAGGCGAGGGGCTTGAGGTCAGCAGCAAGCTCGCATCCCACCCCTACTCCCCAGGCTCTGGAAGGAAGTGGGCTGAGCAGGCCCTAGTCTAAGGATATTTCCTGCCCTCTCCTACCCACCCCTCTGTCACTATGATCCTTGTGACGCCCCTGCAACAAAGGGCACCAGCACCACCTACCACACAGTGTCCCTAGAGCTTCTGGCCCTCAACGTCTGCTCCTACCACTGAGATCCAGAGCTACCGCCTCACACTGCATGTGGCATGTCTGCCTGGGCTTTCCGCCCCGTACTCTGCACACGCAACACACGCAAGTCCGCCCTTCCCCGGGCGTGCTCTCCCCACTCCTGGCGGAGTCTGCCTTCGTCACAGACATCACTCCACACATGTTGCCCCTTCTGCTGCCCACCCAACTCTCCCCATCACCTAAACCTGCCCAAGCTCCCCCAGCTCAGGAGGGCTCCCACCACCGATAGGTCACCAGACCACACCTCCTCTCAGCCTCCTGAAGCCCCCTCTCTTCACTGCCGCCTGTACCACGCTGTCAGCTGTCAGCCACCACTGAGATGAAGCCATCTGTCCTCCTCTTCCGTTTCTGTGTCGTACACTGAATGTCTTGTCAAGACTCAAGAGCCACAGTTGGAGCGCCCCTTCCCTAAGGCTCACGGTCAGTCAATCAGATGTCAAGCGAAGAGTCCCAGGGCTCCCCTGCTGGCTGTCCCCAGGTTTATGAGTGCCCTGGATGGCACTTTCATCCTCACTGCCAACACACAGTCCTGTGTGTGCCAGCAGAAGATGGACGCCACCTCACACACGCTTTCCAGGAAATGCTTTAGAAGACTCTCAATGTGATCAAATGCATGGCCTTGCTACCCCGTGTGGCAACAGACAGAGACACAAAATCCTCCCGAGGAGGCTTCTAGCACAGTCCCTACCCACTCAGCCTCTCATTGGTGAGACCCCCTGCCTGAGAAGTGCTGACCTCCAGCTGCATTTCAGGCATTCCCTCACCCCTGGTAAAACCCGCCCAGTCCTGGGGAAAGCCTCTTACCTGGCTGCTTTCTCCAGCATCCTCATTACTCTGCAACCTGGACAGATCGTCTTCCCAGGCAATGCTAAGATGTGCCCATCGCCTTCAAGGAAGCCCCAAGTCCCAACCACTCTGCTGCCGTGAGCTCCTGCTGTCCCCAGGACTAGCTCTCAGTCATGATACGTTAGTTGACACTCAAGAGGTAATGACTAATAAAAACAACAGAATTCCTCTTCTTGTGAAGTAGAAACTGGTCCACCCACTGCCAAGACAGTTTGGTCCAGGTGTCCTTTCCTTCCTAAACACTTGAACTCTAGGTCATGTTCCAAACACGAAGGCCAGAGCCCTGTCCTGCCCACCTCAGAGGGTTGCTCAGAGGGCAAAGGAAGTTTCTGGCAAATGCCCAGGCAGCATGAGTGATGGAACACTTACCCCAGGGAAAAAACCAAAATTACGCCATTTCAGGCAGGGCCAGAGCACTGAAGGACCAAAGGTGACCTTGGCATGGGGGCAGGGGAACACTTACCGAGTTTCACGCTTTGCACGCGGCCTCCAATGCAGCTGGAAGCCTCGAGCACAGTGACATCCGTGAAGCCCTGCTCCAGAAGTGCTTTGGCTGCAGCCAGGCCAGCCAAGCCGGCGCCGATCACCACCACACGAGGCTGTCCCCTTCTCCGTAGGCCACGACTGAAAGGGTCATCCGCACTGTCGCCACTGGATTCACAACTTTGCATACCGTCCGCACTGGCCTCCTAGGAACCTGCAGGGGTTGGGGATGTCACAGCTTACCTGCTCTGCCTTCACTTCCCACCTGCCCCACGGGACACTCGTGAGCTCTGCCCTCAAGGGGGAGGGGGACCTTGAGCCCTCCTGCTCTTCCGGAGACCTGGACAAGAGGAGCCATCTCCAAAGGAGGCAGCAGGGAGGAGGACAGACAGAGGGAAGGAGAGAGGTAGAAAAGATGCACTGTGGGCCCCCGCCGGCAAGCGGGATTGCCGGGAGCCCACCCTAAGCCCCTGAGATCCGTCAATCCCATCCCAAACTTACTAGGCACTGCCTATTCCCCAAGGCTGAGGCAAGAGCCAGCCAGAAAGGCAAGACCCAAAAAGAGCGGATTCAGGAGAAACTATTTGACACTGCTCACTCCAACACGGCTGCTTTGGTCCAGCTCACACCAACCCCAGAGGCCCACACAGACCGCAGAATGCTCCCACGGACCCCAGGATACTCACACAGACCGCAGGATGCTCACACAGACCTCAGGACACTTGCACACACAGTACTGGACCCTCTACTCTCCCTCCTGTGTGTGGCTCTTCCCGGGCAGTCTTTTTCCTTTGCCCCTTCTCTCCTCCTCTAGCTTTCTGTTAGTTTTTCACAGTGTGAACGAAGTGGCAATTTGGTGGGCAGGACACAGTCCCGCCCTCCCCCCAGAAAGTGCCACGAGGCCGGTATCGGACGAGCCTCTGCTATTCCGGGTAGTTCTCTGGTTGTTTTCCCCCGGCCACCCAGCCCCTCAGTCACCGCAAAGCAGCAAGGAGCCCAGGAAACGGTGGACTGTGAGGACCCATGGCACCAGAGGCCAGACATCAAATTGACAGTTACACTAAGCCAGCTTGTTCAGAGACGCCAGGCTAGGGAGCCGATGGCCAGGCAGCCAAGGGGGGTCCCTGAATCGCCCCAGTGCTGGGAGAGGCTACCGTCTCCTCCCAGAGCGACCACGAGGGCTGCAAGGTGCCTGTGGGCCATCCCGCGGGGCCACTCAGCCCTCATCCTGTCTCTGTTCCCTCCCTGACCCAAGCAACTTGGATTCCAGTCGTCTTTGCTAATGTTTCCGTAGCAGGGAAACTACTAACAACAGGGGAGGCAGGGTGGCTGGAAGGTGACTGCCGGGCGGTGCAGCAGACAGGGGACATGAAACAACTGCCTCCCGCATCTAGTAAAGCTCAGCATCACCCTTCCAATGACACAGCAGCCCCACCCCCCAGAACACGCCCAGGAGAAGCAGGACATATTCCACCAAACAGACATGCTAAGGGATGGTCATAGCAGCTTTATTGTAAGAGCCAAGACAACAGAAGCAACCCAAAGTCCAACCACAGGAGAATGTGCAGCAGGTTCCTCCACAAGAAACAGAACCAACTCCTGGCACCCTCCTCCTCCAACATTGCATTGAAGGAAAGGAGCCAGAGAGAAAAAGTATACATTGTATGACTCCACTTACGTGAAGCTCAAGGAGAGGTAAAATGAATCTGTGGTGACAGAAGAGAGACCAGGGGGAGGAGTAGCTGAAACCACTCAGGATGGAACTTTCTGGACTGGAAGGGATATGTATCTTGCTCTGAATGGTGGCTACACAGTAAACATATAAAGATCCACAGCTTTGGACAGGAAGGATTTGTGTCATTTGTTATAGGGGTATGTGTGTGTGTGTGTGTGTGTGTGTGCGCGTGTGTGCGTGCGCGCACCACCTCAGTAACCGGTGAGATATTCATTCCTGGCACGGAAGGGAGGGAGGGAAAAAGAAGAAAAGAAAAGAAGGGAGGGAGGGAGGGAGGAAAGGGGGACAGAAAAGAAAGAGAGAGAGGGGGGAAGGAAGGAAAAAGAGAGAGAGAAAAGAGAGAGGGAGGGAGGAAAGGTGGAAAGGAGAGTAAGAGAAGAGACAGAGAGAGAAATTAAAAGAAAGAGAAAGAAAAAAGAAAGAGGGAGGGATGGAGAGAGGGAGGGAGGGAGGAAGGAGAGAGAAAGAGACAAAGAAGAAAAGAAGGAGGGAAGCAAGAAAGAGAGAGAGAGGGAGGGAGGGAAGAAAGAGAAAGAGAAAGAAAGAGGGAGGGAGGGAGGAAGGAAGAGAGAGGAAGGAAGGAAGGAGCTACATACTGACTTCTCACGTTGGGGGGGGGGGGGAACCACTAAAGCTTCGGTCCCGCCTTGAACAGCGCCCCCCAACATCTCTTCACCATAGGCTTAGCAAAAGGATCTTTTTCTAAATACGCTGAGGCTGAGAAGCTGCTCCTCATGCCTCCCGCCAGCCACTCCGCCGGCCGACGCCACACTTGGGCACCTGGGCCTGGACGGGGCTGTCCCCCCACTCCCGCTCCCAAATTCCCCGCACCCGCCCCCAGATCCCGGCCGGCCGCCTCGGTGCCCGAGCGGTTCCCTAGACGGACGGCAGGTGGCGCCCGCGGCCCAGAGCCCTCGGAGGCCGCGTCTCCGCGGGAGGCCGGGGCTCTCCGCCCCCTTCCAGGAGAACCCGGTGCGGCTCCGCCTTTCCTCCTCTCCCCAGCTTCGTTGCCTCTCCTGTGCCTCCCCGCTCCCTCCAGTGAGGTTCCTTAGGGCGTCTGGGAGCACGGGGTCCCGGCGGCTTGGGTCCTTTCCTCCCTGCCCCTTCCACCCTCCCCTTCCCCCAGGTTCTCCTTCCGGGACTAAATTTAGAGGGGAGGGTGTGGCTGCCTGCACCCCGCGGCCAGGGCGGCCAGCTGGAGGAAGGGTCGCCGAGGCGACGCGGGCTGGCGTCAGGTTGGTAAACACACTGGGTGTTCGGAGCTGCCGCTGCCGCTGACGCCACCTGCCCCGCACCCCGGGATGCGACGTGGAGCTGCCGCCCGCCCCGCCCGCGTGCCTCATCCCCAGGACAGGGGGGGCCCTGCCTGCGTGCTGGCCTCCTGACTCCATCCGCACCCCCAGCCGGGGCCACCCTCCAAAAGCGCCTTGTTTATACAGTAAGGGGGGGGGGGTCGCCGCAGTTCTGAAACACGACTGGTGCAACCCCTTCTTGAAAGGTTCCTGTGGGGTCCAAGGTGTGACTGGGTTAAAACTGGGAGGGTCCCACTCCCCTCTGAAGTCTCACAAAACCCCTCGTTTCCGTGCCCCCCCCCCCCCCGCTGAAAACCCCGGGGTCTAGTTAAGCTGGAAGCTGATAGGGGGAAAGGATACTTGGGGTGCAGCGGCTCCCCAGCGGGCTACCTGAACCTCTGGCTCCCCTCAAAAGTGGCCAGCTGGACCTCACTACATTGTTGTGATGATCGAATAAGACCTGATGTGGATGTGGCAAGACTGACAGTATTTTCAAGAGCCTCAAGTGTGAAAATCATTTGGAAAGTTCTGTAACTAAATTCTGAGCAGAGTGCGTGGGGGTGGGGGCTCAGAAAGGCCTGGTGGGAAAGGCAGGTGGTCAGTTTGCCTTTCAGATGAACACAGAAAGAACCCTGAGTTCCCGGGGTATCAGGGATCTTGAACTCAGACAGCACAGGGGTGAAAGTCGGTAAGCAAGGGCCATGTGGGTCACCTGCACCTGTGACACCCCCAAACGAATCCCGCAGTCCAGTTCCTTCCACAGCCCCAGATGGGGCTCCCAAGGAGCCAGAGAAGCCATACACAGGCCCCACACAAGGCAGAGAGCTGAGGAATCTGCCCCACGGCCCCCCATATGGACCCACGGAGCCAACACTCCCGAGGTCCAAACTGAAAGGGACAGAGAAAATCACGTACAAAGACGCCCGCTCCGTGCCAGGCCCTCAGCTGAACGCTGAACTGGGCCTTCCAGTGCTGTTATCTCCAGCCAGGGTGGACAGGAGACTGTGAGAAGCAACTTGTTTTCCATTGGTTTGTGGCATCTTTTCCTTTCGGCTTTTTTTTTTTTTTTCATTTTATGAGAACACGGCTTATTGAGGAAAGAAGAATCAGTTACTGCTCCTCGGTGCCTGCCTGTCCTTCTCTCGCCTTTGGGAAATAAATAAATAAATAACATCCGCTCCTTGATCTGTATGCACAGGAGAAACAGAACACCCTGTACTTTTTCAGCAGATAAAGGAGAGAAGAAAAAAGTGCTGGCTCAGCCAGGCAGGGAGGAGGAGGAGGGAGGGGGTGGGGGAGGGGGAGGAGGGAGGCACAGGGCAGCAGACACTGGTCTTCTTGCTCCTGCTTCCATGGCAAAAGGAGGGTGGGAGCCTGGGGCTCCCGTGTACCCAAGCAGGCCAAGCCTGGTAGCTTCAAGAAATCAGGCCGCCATGGCCCCACTCAAGATGCCCCACGGCCTCCCCGCTGAGCCCTGCTCTGGTCCGCCAGCCACCACCTCCCCCTGCCGCCCACTGCCCTGACTGAACCTGCCCAAGGAGCCAGTTGGAAAGAAGGTAGCAGCAGAAGACAGGAAAAGAGGGAAGAAAGACCCCATCCCTTTGGCAGGCTCACCCAAGAAAGAAGGTTGAAGACTAGACAGCCAGCCAGATGACAGAAATGGGCATTGGCAGCCAAGCAGGTGTCCACTGCCACTTCCCCACCCCACCTGCTCTCAACATCCTCACCAGTGTCATCATCAGCCTCAAATTTACCCTCCAAGAAGCGCCTCCAATCGCCAAATACCAGAGATGTACTTTGGTCCTGGCCTCCGACTGCTGAGCCCCTCTTGGAAATGACCAGTACTGAGCGGGGGAGGACATCACGCGTCTTATTCTGCCTCCTCATCGTGGGTAAAACCACAGGGCTGCCAACCGATCCCAAGGCTCAAAGCTGAATGCACCCTTAGGGTACGACCCGCTCTTATCCATCAGGTCAAGCCATGTCAACACCACAGCCAGAACTGCTGCTGCCTCTACTCTCAAGCTCCCGCCACGCCCACCTGCCTCCTCCATCTGAACTGCACCCCTAGAGAATTGCTGGGCCTGCCCCAAGTCCCACCCAGGCCTCTCACAGACCAGGAAAGTAACCCAGCCATGCACTGAGCACTAACCGCATACTGGGCTTAGGGGCGGCCTCGGCATATCA